AGGCGGGCAGCGTTCCCATGGCACCACTCAGCCGTCCATACTGAAGGCAGGCAGAATTCCCATTACACCACTCAGCCGTCCATACTGAAGGCAGGCAGTGTTCCCATTACACCACTCAGCCGTCCATACTGAAGGCAGGCAGCGTTCCCATCGCACCTCTCAGCCGTCCATGCTGAAGGCAGGTAGCGTTCCCATCGCACCTCTCAGCCGTCCATACTGAAGGCAGGCAGCAGTGGCGTAGCGAGGGTGTTTGGCGCCCGGGAACAAGATTCGCGCCCGGGGACAAGATCCATTTAAAGCGCCCCCTATTCTTTTTTTCAACTCTCAAACCCATTATTTTTACTAATAGTATATTATCAAAGCACATTTTGGAGCCCCTAGCTAGCTTGCGCCCGAAGACATCTGTCCCCCCCTGCCCCCCTCTCGCTACGCCTCTGGCAGGCAGTGTTCCCATTACACCACTCAGCCGTCCATACTGAAGCACAGACGGCACCAAATCATTCATTTTAAAAGAAATAAAACCTTGTTACAAAATAACATTTCACCAAATTTACCCTAACTAGTGTTAGTCGAACTGTTTCGCTTATGGATATAATTGATATAGTTGAGTATGATTTGAAGCTTAGCATCATTTATGCCTTTCCCGTAGTGAGAACCGTCGTAGCTCATCGTGCCGTTCGTCAGCTGGCAATAATTCAGAATGGGAATTCCCTTGGCATCCATCACCGTTTTCATCTTGGCGTTGAAGGTCAGAACGTTGGACGTCTGCTCCGTCCGATGAAATGGTGTTTTGAGAATACCCGGGGTGTGCATGGACATCCACACCATTTTCGGCCACGGTGAGACAGAGAGCTCCTTGAATAATGGCTCGAACACCTGTGAAGCAGACGTCATGGCCCGATTTTTAAAATCTAATTACATTATTTTAAAAAATAACACCTAATTTATTTTAAATTGGTAATAAAGGGGAGAGACTGCAATCAGGTTAGCAAAAATGAAATGAGTAAAAACAAGGAATAAGAAAACCTGACAATGGAACGCAACAAAACAATGAACGTGTCGGCAGGAAGCCTTTGTCAGCGAAACAAAACAAAAGAAAAAAAAACAAATAGAGAAGCTCGACACAGAACTAAATAATCCAAAATTTGAAGACGAATAAAAAATGTTTAAAGGTTTTTCTTTTTAAAAAAATGGTATTTACCAAACCCAAAACTGTAGCCGTTTATCAATCAAAATAAAATAGGATCTCCGGCAGGCCAAAAGGGGCAATTTTTAATCATCCCTGCGATAGGGGCACTAAAAAAAATATTTAGATAAATAATCTAATTCTTTTTTTTTCAAATGTACCCCATTTAATTAAAGCGGAAGGTATTTAAACAGATGTTGCCCTTAAATTTTTACTGCTCCCCATCGGGGGGGGGGGATGGGACTTAACCTTTCTTATTTTACAGCAGTGTGTATTTTCTTAGGTTGGATAACCATCACATGATATTTTTAAAATTGCCCATTTTAAATCGGTTGAAAAACGCCAAAGATGGTGCTTTTATTAGATATAAATTATGGACCAATGTACATTATGAGTTTGAGAGCCATCTATATATTAATGGGATAATAAAAGGTATGATTATCAAGTGTGGCCTAGATGCAACAATTATGTAGAAGCTTGCTGTGTAACATAAGGACCGTCCATAAAGTAGTCACGCTCCAGGGGGGGGGGGATGTAAGAAAGTGTGACAGTTTGTGAAAGGGGGAAGGGGGGTCAGGCCGTGTGTGATGTCACACATTTTATTTCTTTTTATTTTTTTTCTAATTTATTTTGTATTTTTTTAACTTTAATTTATTAGCTTTAAAAATATTGTTTTATAATTTTTTGAAACATTTGAATTTGTTTTATGTGGGGGGGGGGGATGTAAGAAAGTGTGACAGTTTGTGAAAGGGGGAAGGGGGGTCAGGCCGTGTGTGATGTCACACATTTTATTTCTTTTTATTTTATTTCTAATTTATTTTGTATTTTTTTAACTGGAATTTAATAGCTTTAAAAATAATGTTTTAAAATTTTGTGAAACATTTGAATTAGTTTTATGTCAAAATAGCATGAAATGCGTATCTCCTGAATGTGTTGTTCACGATCCTCTCACTAGGAGCGCTAGTATGCTGTTGCAAAGCCTTGTTTATGTATAGTATAGCCTTGCTTTCGTCATGCCTGAAGTATTATTATTTCTATGTTGTCCGCTGCATAAATATGTCACTGTCCTTTTTATTATTTAATCACTGGGTGAGATCAAGTTTCGCTAATCTTTTTTTTCCTCTTATATTTGAGGGGGCCCACGATCAATTTGTTGATCATTCTGGCTCCTGGTTTGAATTCAGAGTTTGCCTTCTCTTAGATGGGTTACCGTCCAAGGCTAACGAGTCCCATCCACCCGGAACTTCTACTATCTTATCTACTGCTTATCCTGTGTAAAAAGATTGCATAATCTGAAGATTATCTAAAACTTGACCTCACCTATAGTAAATGAAAAAGCAACAGATAAATGATGTGTATTATATAATTGTCTAGCCTAATTTTTGCAATTTTTGTTTTCAAATTCAATCTAGATTGAGTTACTGCTTCAATGAATAACTGTGACAACTGTTGAGAATTAAATATTCTACATTAAAGTCATTATAATAATGTGATAGTGGAAATTAAGTGGAAATTTTATATTTTAATACATTTTAATAGTGAAGTGAGTTTTAGATTAAGTTTTTATAAGTTGATAATTTTTTTTTTATTTGTTCGAATGTGTGACGTACTTTATAGGGGTGGGGGGTCCGAGATTTGTGACATTTTGTGACAGGGGGAGGGGGGTTGAAAATGATAAAAAATAGCGTGACGTACTTTATGGACGGCCCCTAAGACTTCGTATATATCTTTGGCTGTTATAAAGAAAATACATTTTAGAACCTCTGAAAATTATTTGGAACTTTCTGGAACCCTTCAAAAATATCTTTAATTCATAACATTTGAGGTAATCATTTCATTTATTAAAAAAACGAACATTCTAGTCTAGAATAAGGTAGAAACTTCAAGAAACTTAAGGAAGATATTATATTCACCAATACCGGGAAATTCAACACTAAGTATAGAAATCTATCGAACTAAACTAAAATTTCCATAAATTTGTTTATCCCATTGAAAATTTCATACTTTTTATATCTACGTGGAACTATAAAGAACCTGTTGAAAAAATCAATATATTTATATATTTATACGTATATGGCCTTTAAAAAAAACTTTTGAAAAAGGCCTCTTATGTTTTCAATATTCGAATACCGGTACTTAAAAAAAAATACAGTAAGTCCAGGCGTTTTCAATTAATAATAATAATAATAATAATAATAATAATAATAAAGTTTATTTCAAAAACACGCTTCTCTCCCAAAGGCTCGAAGCGCGGTACAAAGTAAAAAAAATATATATATATATATATATAATTTAACACATTTAAAACAAACGCAACACTACAAAAACTAATTACAAGCATACCAAGTCAAAGTCTTTCTAGCCATTTCAACCCTAAGCAACACAGCCAATATGCATTAAATGGAAAATATCGTAGACAATCATCCCAGAAGGTGTTTGCGAAATAGATGTGTCTTTAAATCGTTTTTAAAGGACTCCAGAGTCTGGTTGTTTCTGAGATCCTCTGGAAGGGCGTTCCAAATTGTTGGACCAGCAAATTAATGTTAAAATAAAGGGTGCTATAATCTAATGTTTAACAGCTCTTATACCACACAATGTACTGTAGGTTCTTAAAAGTATACAGCATGTATTTCCGTATATTTAAATAATATGATTGTATTAAAAAGCTAATCTTTTGTTGAAAAAAATATTTCAAATATTTTTTTGAAAGTACAGAGAATTACTTTTTTCTTTTTTTTTTTTTATAAATGAGTCTCTAAACAAAAGTGCCTCGAATATCTTCATTTTATATTTGTTTGAAAGTGCACCGTTCTGAGTAAAGATTTTTTTTTAAAGGCGTACAACAAAAAAAAATTTTTTTTTTTTTTTTTTTTTAGAAATGAGTCTCTAAACAAAAGTGCCTCGAAAATCTTCATTTTATAATTGTCTGAAAGTGCACCGTTCTGAGTAAAGATTTTTTTTTAAAGGCGTACACCAAAAAAAAAAAACTTGCGCGTCCCTCGTAGTAATTTAAAATAATTGTTTTGTAAACTTTTTACCCTCTACACTTTAAGATTTTTTTTTTAAATTACAGCTTTTGGGATAAGGGAATTACGAAATTCTCCAGGACCAGTGGCGACGCCATCAAATTTAACATGGCGCGTCCCTTGCAGCTCTTAAAAAAATTTGGTGGGTCCCAAATAAATGTGTTAAAAATAAAATTTAATTATTAAGTAATATTTATTAATCTACTAACTTAAGTGTCAGTACGTACGCTATTTTTTTGTGGGGGGGGGGGGGTGTTACTGAAAAAGTACGCCATGCAACAAGGGGGAGGGGGTCGAAATTCGTGATATTTTTGCGTACGTAATATATGGATGGCCTCTTACAAGTTAAAAACTTACATTTTATATATATTACATTTTATGACGTTATATTGACTTTTGTTGTTGATAAAAATTTAAACATATAAAGGCATTTAAAATGGAAGTTCTCTTACATGGAATGTAGTTTACGCTTAATGAACATATATACAATATTAGTAACTAATAGAAATTTACCAGGTCATTTGCCAGGTCCCAGGTTTTTTTTTTACCAGGTCCTGGGACCGGCGGGACCTGGTGTAGCGTCGCCACTGTCCAGGGGCAATCTATATTTTAGGAAGAATTACCATGTCAAATTCGTTTGCGACCTATTATTGCATGGTTCTCTTGTGGTTGATCAAAACATTAACAGACAAACAAACATAATCATACTGAACTTCGTATAACAGATCAGTAATACAAATAAATAAAAAAAAAGAAAACCAAATATAATTACCTTTTTTATTTTAATCGCCTGTGACACATATGATACACGTACTCATTTACTCACCGCCTGAATGACCAGATCGGCGTCCAGCTTATCGTGGTAACCAATCCCAATTAAAAACCAGGAGTCGGGCTTCCCGCGCAGCTGCTGGACGAGTCTGATGAAATTGCCCAAGTGACCCACTAGATACGAGTACTCCATGTTCAGTTGCAACTGAAATGTAGGATAAAACTTTTTGGACTTAGTGTTAGACTATCTGTAGGGTTGAGCTATAATTGATAGTAGGAAGCTCTGCGAGATGGAGCATTATAAAAAATAGCGAAAGTAACAAAAAAACAAACACACGATATTGATATTCTTGATTTGACATATTTGCCTTTTTTTATGTGGGGTATTTAGAGGCGACCCGTGAACTTAGTTAAACTAATTAAAGTAATCTGCCTACTTCCAAAATTTGACATAAAAATACAAACATAGTGCTCAAATTCCATAGACAGGAAAATATTTATTTATGGGGCATTTATGTATGCGGAATTATTCCAGTGAAGGGTCTTCAGTGTTGGCAATCTGCTTGTGTGCGGGGGTGGGGGTCTGGGGGGTTAGAGTGGGGTAGATGGGTGTGAGGAAGATTGTTTTGCGGAGAATAATCCATTCAGAGAAGAAATTATCGATCAGTCTTCTCCGTTGGAGTGTCATATTCTTTGGGCACGTGTCCAACACGTTGATCACTGGACGATTGTAGAGTGACAACCCCCCCCCCCTTGCTCCCCGGTCGTGGGCGTTCGAGAACGTCCCCTTACCGTTCCGTTGCATTCTTTCGTATTCCAGAGCAGGTAGTGTCTGCAGTCGGCGAAGTAACGGTAGTAGTTGTCACACTTTGCAAAGTTCTCTGCGGAGACAAGCGTTCATGTTTCAAAAAATGTATCAAAGTATCAAAGTATCATATCATGTCAATGGCTCCTTTAAGCGGACTGCCTACGCTAAAACGTGCCTAGGCATTGCAATAACAATGATTGGGCGTGGAATGAAAGGGGCGTAGAAGAAGAGCTAGAATGCAATCATCAGTAGTAGTATAAGGTCGAAACGAAGCGTATTTCGGCGGGTTATATCGGCTTTTTGACATGTTAATTAATGAGATATTTGCTGGATTTTAATAGCTTAATTAAGAAGATGGTTGGGGCGATAACTAAGTAATTAATTTTGTAATAAATTTTTTAATTTAGTATTCTCACCCTGGTGGGCTATGTAATTAATCTTCTTGTTGTGCTCTTAATTAATTTTAATTTCATATCTTTTTAATTTTTAAATAAGTTGTCTTCTTAACAAGCGGTTCTCATTGTGTAAAGGTCCATTTTGGTTTCTATTTGAAATTAATTACTTTTTAAATTTTGGTTTTAATTAGGATTCTCAATGTGTTATTACAAATACAAGACAATATCTGTCAATAAGATTAAAAATACAAGACCTTATTGACAAATATTGGTCTGTAGTATGCTAATTAGATGGTTTTTTAACTAGTGGTTCTCAAGGGGTGGGGGTCATTTTGTCTTTATTTTTATTTTTCATCTTTTATTTTTTATATATGTTCTTGTGGTACAAAAATGTTATTTTGAGTGATTCTCAAAATGTGGGAGGTCTTTTTTGTATTTTCTATTGAGTTGTTCTCACTTCTTATAGTTTTCTTAAACACAACATAGAGATACACAACAAATACTTGGCTTATAAGTTGTATAATAGTTCTAGGGGCGGGTTGTAGCAGTAGTATAATGGCTTTTTAAAAAGTTGGTTGAGTGGTTCTCAACTTTGGGTTAGGGGTCAGTTGTCCTGATAAGTGTTTTTTTAATCTTCATCTTTTGCTAGTTCTAGGACCAAATTTTGTTCCTAATTAGTAATTTTGTTGTGTGTATTTTAAATTAGTATTCTTGGTGGGTTATATTTTGAGAGGTACTCAGAATTGGGCAAAGAGTCGTTTGACATGAGGGAAGGTTTTTTCTTCCTTTTTTAGTAATTTTAATGGTTTTGATAGTTTAATGCGAAGTTTCTAGTGAGTTTTCTTGTCGTTGACTGGTTTAATTAAGTTTATGGATTGGTTCTCATACTTGGGTTAGGGATCGATAGGCATGAGGGAGTGTATTTTAAAAATAGAAATTTGTTTAATGACTCCTAATGAGTGGTCTTGTTGGGTTATGCGTCTATTTATTTTGATTGGTTCTCAAGCTGGGGTTATGGGTATTTTTTTTCTTGTTTGGAAATACTTGTCTTGTAGAGTTTGGTAAGGTAACTCAAGTTAGTTGAGTGGTTCTCGTTGTGGGATGGTTGAATCGGTATTGACTAGGATTCTAGTATTGAATTTTAAATCAGTAGACCTGTATTTTTTACGTGTAATCTTATTTACTTGAAAAGTCGACTGAAGGAAATGTGCCATGATTTAAAATGCCCCACAATCTTTAAAAACACTTTAACGTAGTATTTCTCAGAGACGTGTTCTTTTTTTATTTATGTTCCAAGTGTGGAAAAGTACTACATAACAATATCAGAAGTAACATGTCATTAGATATTATGACAAAGGGCATACCTTCCTTATGGGTTGTTAGGGATTAGGTGGTTCATGTTGTTAAAAGTTACGCGACCAAAACGTTATATTATCATTTTACGGATACGACTAGGGAAACTTGGTGACTGACTTCAGGTGGGGCATAAAAGTTTCTTGGGACATACGTGTATTGGCGTAACTGTGTCGGATGCAACTCACCCAGCAATCTCAGGTTTGTTCAATTCATGATCATCCGACGTGTCCCCACCTTACCAAAATGTAGACATGTAACGTTACTTTCATATAGTTTCTTTGAAAATGTCCCGCAATAGTAAAAATCCGAGCCATCCATTCAAAATGTTTTTACTATTGCGGGACATTTTCAAAGAAACTATATGAAAGTAACGTTACATGTCTACATTTTGGTAAGGTGGGGACACGTAACGTTACTTTTCCCCCCCACCTCTACCGTTCCACTCATTAGCTACACAGACACCATTAAATTAAACTATTAGGCTTGTTTGGCTAGAAAGTTATATACAAAGAGAACCCCTGTAACCAAAGACAAGCTGTTGGGCAAACTCAATTTTTGTGAACTTGTGTATTTCGAAACACAGGGGTCCTTTGTTTAGACTAACTTTTAAAAACTAAATACTTAATACCTGTGTTTGAATCGGAAAAAAAAAATAATGTAAATAAAACTATTAAAATGAATCACACCTTTTGTTTTCTATATGTAGTTTGGGTTGTAATTTTAAATTTGATTCTGGCTTTTTGTTGGAACGGAGTTCTAGGTTTTTTGGTTTTTTAATTTTTTAATTCACTTTTTGCTTCATGACAAACATCATGGTTTTATAATTGAGTCACGGAAATAAATCTGCTCGTAACCCGAGATTTCACTATCTGTACAAACTTAACATTTACGATCCTTAAAGACTCCGCAAAATTAGATTTTGTTATTTAATGATATAAAAAGAGGGTGTGTACAATTTTTTAAAAAATATATGATAACTCTTGAATAAATAATAATATAAGATAAGATTATGTTTTGAGCCAAATAAACGGAAATGCTTTTGGATTGCATTGATCATATGCCATTTTAGCACATAAATAAATATATATTTCTAACCAAGACAGCATTTTACAATTTGAACAATTGAAACACAAGACGGCTTAATAGTTCTCCAGTGTAGATATCAGCCATAAATGAACTCCTTCAGTGACAATAATAACTTAATTTTTTGATCATTTAGATTTGGTAATCGCTGTGAGAGCACACTGGTAAATTCGTACAGACTGGGGAACAAAATAATCTGTATATCTTTCTGTCCAACCTTTAGGAAGAAAAAAATGGCACTGATCGAGTTGATTTTTTGGTATCTGTGATGAAGTAGTTGATGAAGTATTCGATGAATTGTTTCATGAAGTAGTTGAAGAAGTATTTGGGATAAATCATCCATTTTTTTTTAAAATCACGTTTCACAATAGCGCATTTTTTCTTCAAATAATTCCTCAAGTGAAAGATTTTTAGTTTGTGTGATATTACTGGCTTTCTTGATAAGGCTTGAGAGAGAAAAAAATATATGTTTATAGTCATCTTCAGGTGTGTTTGACCAGAGCAGATCAGACCTGACCAGATCTGACCTGACCAGAAGAGAACAGACACTTAACAAACCTTCAGATACACTGTCTGTGAGAACGTGTCGTGGTTTGTCTTTTCTCAGGATGGCCAAGAGTGACGTGTAGATCTGTCGCATGTAAGAGTCGCCAACAAAATAGATGGTCTTGTTCTGCAGCAAGCCGCACACGACCGTCTCTGTCGTAAACAGCGACATCTGTAGTAAAAAAAAAAAAAAAAAAAAACAATGAACATGAAAGAATCATACACAGCTTTGCTCCGCATCGAGCTGCATACGTCCGCCTCTATAAAGGCATAATAAGCATAGTCTTGTTCTGCATCGAGCTATATACTTCATTCTTTGTGATAAACTGTGTCATCTGCAAGACAATGATAATGAAAGAAAAAGTATAGTCTTGTTCTACAGCAAGCGTCGGACGTCCTCCTGTGGCGTTAACTGTGGAATAGCGGAAACTAATTTGCCGCAGTCATTACCATCATGTTTTCTATCTCGGAAAAATTTAATTATGTTTTAGGTAAAAAAAATAAAAAATCTTAGGGTAAATTACAAGTATATTATCCACTGGAGTTGTTGATTTTTATTTTTCTGTTTGCTTGTACCGGAAGGACGTCTTAGAGAGGTACGTATGGCGATCTGCTGTACAGTGTACAATACATATTTTTTCCCCTCCTTTTAGGTTTCTTGAGTACCACAGTGGTGGCTTGATGGGGCTGTTTGAGTGGTGGCTTGATGGGGCTGTTTGAGTGGTGGCTTGCTGGGGCTGTTTGAGTGGTGGCTTGATGGGGTTGTTTGAGTGATGGCTTGCTGGGGCTGTTTGAGTGGTGGCTTGATGGGGCTGTTTGAGTGGTGGCTTGATGAGGCTGTTTGAGTGGTGGCTTGCTGGGGCTGTTTGAGTGGTGGCTTGATGGGGCTGTTTGAGTGGTGGCTTGCTGGGGCTGTTTGAGTGTTGGCTTGATGAGGCTGTTTAAGTGGCGGCATCCTTGGGCTGTCACAGTGGCGGTTTGCTGGGATTGTTTGAGTGGTGGCCTGCTGAGGCTGTTTGAGTGACAGCTTGCTGGGGCTGTTTGAGTGACGGCTTGCTGGGGCTGTTTGAGTGACGGCTTGCTGGGGCTGTTTGAGTGACGGCTTGCTGGGGCTGTTTGAGTGACGGCTTGCTGGGGCTGTAAGATCGGTGGCATCCTGGGGCTGTAACATTGGTGGCATCCTGGGGCTGTCACAGTGGTGGCTTGATGGGGTTTTCGCAACCGGGGAGCTACCTTCGGGTGTTTGAGAAACCCCTGGACTGCCGTGGTTGCTTTGTTTGCCTGGTTATCATTGGTGATGACTAGACTGTATGCATCTTATCTCCAATGACGTACCAATTTCAACATCACTTGTAAGATCATTATGCAGTGAGGTAGAATGCAGTCAAGATTTACTTACAGGACCATCTAAAATGATATTTTTGTAAGGTGGATTGCTATTAAGATTACCTTACTAGGCCATCCAAGAACATTTTGTAGTGAGATAGACTGCAATCAAGATTCACCTACTAGACCATCTAAGATCCTTTTGTGTTAATGTAGAATGCAATAAAGATTAACTTAGTAGGTCATGCAAGATTATACCTGTCTTGAGGTAAAATGCAATCAAGATTCACTTACTATGGCATCTATTATGATTTGATTTTTCGGTGAGGTGGCCCGCAATGAAGATTCACTTACTACACTCTCTAAGATCATTTTATGTTGGTGTAGAATGCAATCAAGATTCACTTACTATGCCATCTATTATGAAATATTGGTGAGATAGACATTTATCATTGAAGATTAAGCATAGACAAGGATTTAACTTTGATGTAAATCAAAATAAATCTAAGCAAATGCTCGTAACAAGATTTCACATAAGGGGAAAAAAGAACATACAAATATCAAAGTATGAAGTAAAAAATACATTTCTGAACTCCTTGGACTCTTTTTTTTTTAAAGGCCTGTCTGAGATTAGATTTTTTCAAAGCTTCATTTCTTGTTTCCAATCATTCTATGTCATTGGCGTTGTAGATTTCTTCTTTTATAAATTAAGGGCCCACGATTAATTTATTGAACATTTTGGCTGCTATGCATGTAGAGGGGATTTGCAATGTTTCTGTGCCTGGTGTTGATGAGGATATTTCACTGGTTGCAAGGGCTACTCTGTGAGGGTTTCATGCACTGGGGGTTGAAAGACCTGAGGCAATGGAGGTACATGTGTCAAGTGTTGTCGCGTCAACTGTTCCCTTTGGAAACTTGATCCACTTCCTGATTTTCTTTGGCAAGATTTAGCAGCTCCTACACTGACTTCTCGCTGGTATGAGCTGGAACTGCCTGTCATAGACTCGTCGCTGACCATGGGCGAGTTTCTGTTTAATGCTGGAGCAGTGGACCAGCCCATTATTTATCTTGTACATCGTGGAGAGCCTGGATAGTCGCGGTCGTTCCTCCAATGGTGACCAGCCCAGTGTTTCCAGCATGCTGCCAACACTAGAGGTATTCCTGTAGCGGTTCAGGACAAAGCGTGCTGCCCCTCTAGATGTGTCTAGATTCTAAGCGCTCAACAAACAAGAGTCGTGACCAAAATATTCAGATGTAAACTCAGCGAAACATTTTTTTAAAATATATATACTTTATATAATCTACAACGGACGTCGCCACAACTTAACACTTCGTGAACAGTCCACATATTCTTTTCAATGATTCTAAACAACTTGCATAAATTCTCATTTATGACAGGGCCCAGAGGCGTAACTAGATTTTTTTGGCACCCGGGGACAAGATTCATGTTAAAGAGCCTTCCTTTCTCTTAAACCCATTATTTTCATCAATAAAATAAAATCAAAGCACGTTTTTGGCGCCCCTAACTCGTCTGGCGCCCAGGGACATCTGTCCCCCCTTCCCCTTTAGCTACGCCTCTAACAGGGCCATGTGAATTTTTCCCCTGTTATCTTTATTGTGCGTTTTAAGTACCAGGAAATAAAAAAATATTTTTAAATTTAATTTTTTTCGGTCTTTCTTTAAAAATATTTTTATTTACCACTGACATTGACTGTGGGGTCATCCGGTACCCAGGTGGACAGCTCTGCGTGGATCTGTTGTCTCAGGTCGTAACACTCTGGACAGTGACACTCCTGAATGGTTTTGTTGACGCACACGTTGTCCATGCAGCACGGTGTGGCGCCCTTCTGTTCGCACAACGCCCTGTACCACTGTAGATCTGGCCCGTCCAGGGTATTGTTTCCTAGCAAACGTTGCAATGTAGCAGATATCAATTGAACCACTTGATCATCGTCTTACCAGAGAACTATTTTGTAACAGTTTTTGATACGATGAAAGGTAAATATTTTAAACGGGGATAATTTCGTTACAAGTTTAAGAAGTATTTTTGTATCCAACAAAAAATTTATCAAAATTAATGGGGGAAAGGAAAAAATTAAATACTTTTTTTTTTAAAGTTAATTAAATTTGTAAAAATTCAATGTTTTGTTTTTTTTCATTTTTCTTCCTTTAATTTTTTTTTTTCACATATTTTTTTTTTGGAGGAAATAAAATCTTATTTTTACTTTTCTAGGTTAGGCTTGGGATTAGATTCTAATCCACATTTATGGATTTAAATTTTTTTTTTTTGTAAAAATTTAATGTTTTGTTTTTTTTTATTTTTTTTTATTTAATTTTTTTTTTTCACATATTTTTTTTTTGGAGGAAATAAAATCTTATTTTTACTTTTCTAGGTTAGGCTTGGGATTAGATTCTAATCCACATTTATGGATTTAAATTTTTTTTTTGCCATCCAGCCATCCACCCAATATCAAGTTTTAAAAGGCAATTTTAAAAAACAATAATAATAATCATAGTGAACTCTCAAATTAAATACCAATTCCATAACATCGCAGATTTGATCAAGGTTAAGTTGGAGGGGGGGGGGTGGCTTCCAGCCCTCGGGGAGGACAGACACCTCTGGGTTGGGATCAGACAGTATTTAAAGTAGCCATTAATACAACGTGGCAGAACTTTTTCATAAGTTCAGTGGCGTGAGAAGGAGGTCAAGGAAAAAAATGTGGGNGGGGGGGGGGGGGGGGGCTGTGATTTTCGACCAACTACAGATTTAATTTTTTTGACGTGGAAGGATGGAGGCAAAAGTCTTGCCACTCCCCTGGTGGCACTTACCCTTGCTACGCCACTGAATAAATTTCAGTTAAAAGGAATCGGTCGTCTTTGAGAATTTTCGAACCGTTTGGTTAGAGATTTATGTCAGGAGGAATCAGTCGTCTTTGAGAATGTTCTAACCTTTTGGTTAGAGATTTATGTCAGGAGGAATCAGTCGTCTTTGAGAATTTTCTAAACCCTTTGGTTAGAGGCTTTATGTTATGAGGAATCGGTCGTCTTTGAGCATGTTCTAACCATTTGGTTAGAGGATTTATGTCAGGAGGAATCGGTCGTCTTTGAGAATGTTCTAACCATTTGGTTGGAGGCTTTATGTTATGAGGAATCGGTCGTCTTCGAGAATGTTCTAACCATTTGGTTAGAGGGTTTAACAAAAAACCTGGAAACGTGAGTAAGAGTGCAGATTATATACGGCTCTTATTACACAGTCCCTATCTTCATGCTACACCAGCATGCTTCGTCGTATGCAATACACTTGAAACCTTATACAGTCAGCTAAAGTGGCTCTAGTTCAGCGGTTCTCAACCTGACCCTTTCACGTGGGTCGCGTAAGACCATTGGAAAACAAACACATTTCCGATGCCGATGGTCTTAGAAACCGATTGATTTGGTCTGGCTAAAAAAACCAGACATGTCACATTTTTCATTATGGTTTGAGATGAATTTTTACGAAGCTGAGTGCAATTTCCATTTTCTAACGACACTGTCCTCAGAAGAATAGATGACATGTCTGTTGAAATTTTTGATCAGGTTATCCAGGAAATTATATCTTCCAATATTTAGTATCCAGCCGTTGCAAACGTTTCACAGTTACTAGATAGCGTGAGGTATATTAATAATAGCGACTTTAAAGATGAGTTGTTTTTTTTTGTTTTGTTTTTTTGCAAACCTCTTGAAACGACAACTATAGCACGTGATGTATTTGACATGGTTTATTTCTGAAAGATCATAAGATCTCTTGGGAAAAGGTGCC